AATTTCTACCATTGATTAAATAACTTCACACTTAATACATTTCTATACAAGTAAAATGCCTGGCTAAAAGAAGAAAATTTTGGGTCTAATTTTGCTTTAAGATGTTTAATAATATTTTGCCAAATATGAAAAAGACAATAAAAATAGATTGTCTCTGGAAAAACTTGAGCAGCTGCATTTATTAAACCAGATTCAGAATCTGTTCAAAATGATTTTGAAACAAGATTATCAGTTGCTTTCATTAAACATTGCAAAATCCACCTATATGTCGATACTATTTTATCTTCAACTAATGCATTTGCCATATTTCGAAACCTTCCATAATTATTCCTAATTATAAATACACTCAAATACATGTTATACTTATTGGTTTTATATGTATTATCATTTAAAACCACATTATAAAATTGCTAGTACAAATCTTGCTAGGATGGTGACATTTAAAAAACACCTAACAGATGACGTTCATTACCAGTATGTTGAACAAACACCTTCTAATTTGCATCTTGATCCTTTTTTTCTAAAAGTGTACTAAGAAATGAATTAGAATCAAATTTTAATTCATTTCTATTATTACAGTTTTTGTAAATCGCATTACAAACATCCGTTTATGAAAAACATGATCTGAAAATTTTTTCTTAAGTATTTCTAACTATGTAATTGGTGCTACTTTACAGCTAGTAAGAAACTTTAATTCTTGAACCATTTCATTATTAAGCCGATGATACCTTGGAACTATATTTGCTATTTGGTTTGGGTTTAATTTATGACTATATTTGTTATTTAGTGTTGTATATGATATTTGTTTTGTTGTTTTTGAAAAGGTAAAATTACAATATCATTCACAACTGATTTTCATATTATCACGCAAATAGTGCGAATTCTGATCTATGTTTTTTTTGGCCTTATATTCTCTACTTGCTGAGCAATGATAAGACTTGCGATAAGTAACAGAGGAATCATTTAGGTTTTTGTTATTATGAAAAGTTTGGTACTCAAAACCTCTTTCAAAACAGTATTGGTGTATAAATGTATCAACAGATGACCAGTCATCAAAGACATCTCCTACATTAAGCTTATACTCATAAGTAGATACAGATATATTATAATCACTAGAAAAATCTAAAAAAAGCTAGAAGATTAGTATTAAGTAAAACTATGATAAAATATAAACCAACCACAGTGATTCTAAAGGTGCTGGTCCCAAGATAAATAACAAAAACAAACTCGATTTTGTTACTTATTTTGAAACCAGCACTTTTGAAATTTTCATTAATTCTAATATTACCATATATCTGAATTTTGTTAATATAATCAGTACTGTTTATAGTATCCTTCATCGCATTGTTCATAGTATCATCTACAGCATCATTCATAGCATCATTCATAGCATCATTCATAGCATCATTTATCGCATCGCTCACGATATCATTCATCGAATCACTTACGGTATCGTTTATCGAATCGCTCACGGTATCATTCATCGAATTACTCACAGTATCGCTTACGGCATTGCTCATAGTATCGTTCATAGCATTATTATTATCATCATTCATGTTCGTGGCATCATTTATATTCATAGCATTGCTAGTAGTATTATTTATATCTTTCTTATGGGCCAAGAATGACTGTACATTGGTAATAAAACAAACTTCAGAAGTATTTTCAGGTAGAGTATATGATAATATATGCATTATTTTTACAAAATAACTAAAAAAAATAAAAAAGGTACTAATGTTTTAGTTCATTGGTAAGAAGTTGATAATTAAAGCTTTCAAGGTTCCAATATGCCTAGACTCATTTTATAAAATTTTCATTGTTTTAACAATGAATACTATTCTCAGTATAATTCTTAAATCTAAGTACTTACAAATATACTCACTAAAGTGCTTTTTTCCTTTGGTCAAAATGATCCTTCAAAGAAGTCTGTAGGTATTTTTACAAATGCGTCAGCTAATGCACTTCCTCTCTTCAAACTAACTTTAAAAAAATTCAGCATGTTGATCTTGCAAAATACGTTCAATAGTATGCTTTCTACCTTTGGTCCAAGTTGATTATTATCAGAGTTCAAAGAAGTCAGTTTCTGCCTCTTCTTTTGAAAGTAACGTACAATGAAATTGTATAGCAATAGCGATACTTCTTTTAAAACTATTTTACTATAATATTATTAATATAGCATAATACATAATTGCATAACTATGTATTACATAGTATAGATTAAAATATCTCATGCACTAATCTATCCTATTACGTAATCACGGTGAATTTCACTAGAGGTTAAATTTAAATAATTTCTAAAATTAATTACTTATTTAATACTTATTTTTAAAATATTTAATTAGTATTATAATTAATTACTTTTTTAATACTAATAATTATAAGTATTTATATAATACTTAAAACTAATATTTATTTTATATTAAATTATAATAATAAAAAATATTTGTAACAAATATAAATAAATATTTACAGAATACTAAGTATTTAAAAAATATTATTTTCAAATATTTATTTAATAATTGTATTTAATTATATAAAATAGTGATTAATTTAACTTCATGATGAATCTTTAGCTAATATTAACTATAAAGCAGACCACTTTAATTAAATCAGATCAAAATTTGTTAGCAAAATAGCTGTTAGCAAATAATTGTTAGCAATATCAAATAAGTTAATTAAAACAAATTTACAAAATTTTAATATATTGCAAAATTTAGAATCAGATTTATTTTTCATATATTAAAACTAGATTAATATATAAAAAATAAACTAGTTCTAAACTCTAATTTTTTTTAATATTAAGATAACCTCTTAGCTATTTTTTTATTTAGTTTTAAGCTAACTTTACTATATAATTAATTCTATTAGGATAGTTTATACAATATATATATTTAGAGAATATATACTAGCTATATATATAACTTTAATTACCTATTTAAGTAGTCTACTTATTACTAAGTTCTATACTAGATACTATATTTATAACTCAACTAGAGGGTTCTTTAATATACCTTATTTTTATATACTTAGTTTAAAACTTTAAAGCAGGCTTAACTATTTAGAAAGGCTTTTATTTTCAAAATAAATCTGCTAAAGTTTTTTATATTTACAATCTGGCTAATCTAGGCTTTAGTAACTTATGATAAGTCTAAAGACAAGTATTTGTAAATCAAAGCTACTATTATTATCTATTTCTGCTCTTGTAGAGTTTATCTAAACTCTAATACTTCTTTTTAAAACTACTTGATATTTAATGCTTATTTATTAAAATATCTAATCTATCTTCTTAGACTACCAATTCAGATAGCTAGAAAGAATACTAGTTCTATAGTATCTACTTAATAGATCTTTTTTTTAATTAATACTTTGGTAGTTTGGTAGTAAAGCAACTTGCTAATACTCTTACTTCATTCAGTTAACTGGTTTTAGATGAAACCTATTTTAATAGTTACTATTAAAAGTTTATATTATCTCTTTACTTAGATCTTATCAAGTAGATATTTATTTTGTTAGTTTTTTAGATTTATATAATCATAAAGACTTATTTCAAATTTGTATTGCCTAAAGCTAACTTGTATATTTTTATATACTTTATATATTATACAAATGTTTCATAATCTTCTAATCTTGTTGATATTATCAAAGTTACAAAGATCCTATTCCAACCAATTATTAAAAAACAAACTATTATACAAATAGAATATTTGAAATTTGTTATTAGTATACATGCCACTGAAATAGGTTTTTAAAAAAATACTGTTTCATCTCTATTAGAGCAAATTAGAATTTTTTATATGCAAAAATAAATCTAATTTAGGTAGTTATATTTCTTATAATTTTGTCTCTTTAAAAAAATATTAAAAAATTTCATTTTTTATATAAAATAGGTCAAAAATAATTTTGTTTTTAAATTTTAATTTCAGGTTTTAGATCCTAAAATAATTTTATTAGTATGTATAGTTACTAGTAGATTTTAAACTCTCTATCTTGCCAATATATTACTTGAATATTATAACTTAACTACTTTACTAAGTTACTATATTCTAAACTTTAATATATTGTTCTTATTTTAAAACAATTGTGTCTTAGATTTTAGAACTATCATAAAATCAACTCTTTCTGATGATCCTCTAGACAACGCAACAAAAAATCGAACTACAAAAAAATGATATAAGAAGTCTTAAAATATTTACTATTCTCAGTCCTGTCTTTGAGTAAGCAGTTGTCAACGAAGTCTAGAGATATAAAATACCGAGAAACGAGCGTACCTTGGGTGGTTTTTCTTGGGGTCAAGCTTCTTGTATAGTAGACTTCTCAAGATATTTGGCATCCAAACCAGAAGGTTTATTCTAAGAACTGAACTTACTTTTGAACAGGTTGCTGTTGACAAAACTTGAAAGACGTGAAATACTGAGAAGCAGGTATAACTTAAATAGTTTTTCTTGGTGTCAAACTTTCTTCTGGTAGACTTCCCAGGATATTCAGCATCTAAACTAGAAGGTTTATTCTAGAAGCAAGTAGTAGACTGGCTCTTGCTGAGATAGTATTATTTTGTAGAACCAACTATACAACTATAAAACTTACAGAAGAATCTCATATATTTTTGTTGGCCCTCACTTTTTTTTCAGAGAAAATTTTATAAAAAATGGGTGATTTAGCTTATCTCCTCCAAAAGATTGATATATTGTTTACTTTTTAAATCAGGCAGTATTGTTTACTTTGTTACCTGTCACAACAAATATATGGATGTATATGAAACATGAATATGTAAATTATATATCTCGAATGAGGGTGTGGCGACTTAGTGAAGTGGTCAAGTTGTCATCCCCAAGTGGCAGGTCTAGAGTTCAATTCCTACTGGCGACGATTATTAAATATCAAAAACTTGTATATCTCTGATATGTCAACTTAATTGGGTATGCTAGGCGTAACGGACACTGTAATCTATGGTTATACCAATGACGATTGGAAGTACAAAGAAATTTGTACGCATAATACGACCCATGGGGCACCA